CCCCCCCCCCCCCCCCCCCCGGCTTACCCTGGCGTACTCCTCCTCCGACACGAAATCCAGCGGCCCACTGGTGCCCCCTACCCCGGCCACCTCATCATCGTCGCCGCGGCCGCCGTCTCCGCCCGCCTCCTCGAGCCGCCGGCGGCAAAGCGCCGCGCTTCCCGCAGAGCGCAGCGGCGAGGACAGCTCGGGGGTCGGGCATTGCTCCGAATCGTCGTTGTCGTCGTCGTCGTAGTTGTAGGTGCTGCCGCCCCTGTGGCCGCCGCCGTCGGCGGTGTTGACCATAGCGGACGGGGTGAGAACCTGCAGGTCCCGGACAGAAACGGTGGCGGAGCGCAACGGCGACGACAACTCGGGCGTCGGGCACGCATCCGAGTCAAAACCGTCGCTGCTGCCGCAGCCGTCGTGGTCACTGCCGCGCCAATCGGTGTTCACGTTGGCGTCTACGTCGCCGCCGGGGCCATCGGCGGCCTTTGAGGCAGCCGGTTTCATCGCACGGCTCGGTGATCGCGTCACTCGGTCCGAGGGGCAGGCGCTGGCGGTCCCACCCCCGCGGCCGGTATCATCACCACCGCTGGCGCCCTCCGCCAGGAATCGAGGGGAAAACATGCGGAGTCTGCCGAACGGGGGCAACAAAATGGAAAACGTGGGATCGACAGAGCCAAGAGCGCTCAGACAAGAAGAGAAGTTTGCACGGGTACGTAGCGAAAGGAGGATTAACCGGTTGGAGGATGGGGGATAGGGCACGAGAGGAGGAAGGGAATACATGCCATGAGCTGCCTCTACGCGAACTACTTGCTTCACACACAACCAACGTGTTGAACAAGAGCGCTGGGGGTGGGTGGGGGTCCCACCCTCCCGTACCCAACTTCGGTACATCTACCGGCATAAAAACGCCACAACAGCAACGACCTCCAATCCCACGAACCCCTGGCGGAGACTTTCGTACGAAAAAGGCAAAACCACCGGAAGAGCCCCTGACAGCCCTTGACCGCTAACACGAGGCGATAACCGATTCTTCCAACATCAGCACACCACACTCACGCGGCGGGAGTTTCCGGGCTGTACGGGGGTTCGGGTCGGTGTTCGGCCCTGTTTTCTCGCGATGAAGCTACGACAGAGGACTCGGGGGATGCGTTGCCCCAGAAGTCGCCACGGGGTCCCTTTGGCAGGCTGCCTGTGACAGAGGATTCGTTTCCCTACAGTAGAGGGCAACGGGCGAGGGCGGGAGGCAGGGAGATAGAGCCTTGAGCATGTGGGGGTTGCGAAGAGCATCATTCTCTTGTGTTTCCCTTGATCAGCAGAACACAACTCCTTGCCACGCCAAAGAGGCATCATTCTCTTGTGTTTCCCATGATCGGCAGAACACAACTCCTTGCCACGCCAAAAAAAAAGTGCTGGCCTATTTGTGGGAAGGTGGGGATTGTCTGCAGAGGTAGCCTCGCAGGAGACTGGAGAGGCTAGGATACGCAAGGGCAACCAGAGGTTACGGCGGGTGGCTCACAACGCCCCGGATACATTTGGCTGTGCGGGGTTTGTTTGCTCCCTCTGGGCGCCCTCAGCAGAGCGTCGAGAGCACTCACCCACCGGGATCGCAACCGCTACTTACACCGCATGTAAGTGATATCGTGCACCCTCTCAGTCCAGTCATTGCGTACACGGCCGCGGCTGCTCCCAACGGCACGGCGCCTCTCCTTGGCGCTATCTGGCCCTGCTTCTCGAAAAGCTCCAAAACCTTGTCCCCGCAGGCATCCCAAGACCAAAAGGGGAACGATAGGCCCCCAACTCACCCACGACACAACAATCACCATCCGAGCGTGCCGTTGGCTCCAGCGAAATATTTCAACTCCAAGTACCAACGGCTGCTGTGCGTGCACTCCTTCCCGCCCCCCGAGATTCGACACTGACGTCTTTCGACCGTCATACGTCCAACCCGATTTGCCCGCAACCCCCCCCCCCCCCCCCCCCCCCCCCCCCCCCCCCCCCCCCCC